ATATATTAAAATTTTAAATAGAATTATTATATAAAATTTTGTGTAATTAATAAATAAATAATGTGCAATACTTTTGTCCAAGTAGTATATGAATCTGTAACTATAGTTAGTACATCTATAGTAGTTGATATTAAAATAGAAAATGAGTTGTTGGATAGTTTAAATTTGATTGTGTTATTGGTGATTTGTTTTGTTATATTGTTATAGAATTATTGTTCCATTTGATATTGATAAGAAAAGAGATATTTGTTATAACATAGCAAGTATCCAGATTGATTTGTATAGATAAGTTAAGGTCTCAGTTGATATTTTGATTTACTTGAAAAAGTTAGTTATGAAAAAGGTATTGTTAATAATGTCATATGCCAGCTTTACTAGCTGTCAGATATAAGAGATTAGTTTGGGATTTCTATTAGGATAAAAAATATTATTGATGATATTGATATATTGACTAATATTTTCTAATACTGATAAACATTTGAAGACATATTAAATGTTTTTGATATGCAAGCTGCACCTGAAACAGTATAGATCTGAATATTGGTCTAAATATAATTTATGAAGATTTTTTTATATAGAAAGTATTCTTGAAAGTAGCTTAATTCTGAAAGTAATAAGATTACTATATTTGTTAACTTTGAAGCTTTTTATTTTTTTGTTAAATTTGTTAATGATTTTAAGACTATAAGGTTTATAAGTATATTCTAATATTTTGAAAACTGATAAGCTTTTACAAATTATATAAATTTTGATAATACTTAAATTTTTTTTGCATCATCTAATACTGTTATCTAACTATAAGTTATTAATTAGTGAGTTTTCAGGAAAATAAAGTGGTGGGTTGATTCATTGTAGAGTGTTATCAGATCTTGAGTTGGATTTAAGATTGATATATCTAATTTGAATTAATTTGTCTTATATTAGATTGTTGATTTTTAGTATTATTGGAGTAAAATTAATTTTTGTTATTCTTCTCAAAAAATTGGAAACTTCTTAAAGAATTTTTATAATATAATTTAATAGGTACCAATGTAGAATATTCATTATTATATTAAAAAAGTCTTCTAAGAGATGTCTTGAATTGACTGAAATAAATTTGTACTATTTATAAAGATCTTGTTTTGGTAAAGTTGGAGATGATATTATTGGCAAAAGTTAATTTTTTGAAGTGCTAATATGAAAAGAGAGATAAAGAAATTGTCAATGAATTGAAGGATGTCTTTTCTTTATTGTAATAAAATAAGTAGTTCATTGATTATATTATATAAGCAATGTTTGTTTAAATTTTAATTAAAATTTATATTTAAATTTATAATTAAATATATTTAATTTAATAATTTTTTTTTTTTTTAATAAGTAAATATCATTTCTTTATTTGATTTGTATATTAAAAGTATATATCGTAAAAGAAACAATATTTTTTATTTGTAAATACAATGAATTTAATGCTAGCTTGCCTACAAAAATTAAATGACTAATATTGAAAATAAATTTTAAAACAATATATCTTGTCAAATGGTATTGAGTGGCTTTTTTTTTATTTTTGATCGATTAAGATAGAATTCTCCTGTATATTACATTACTTAGTATTAGAAGAAGTAAGATTGGTATAGTTTTGGATTAGTTTAATAATACATTTAGAAAAGTTAAGATTGTTTTGAATATAGGCATCTGCAACTAAGGTAGGTAGGTCAACTGTTGTTATTGAATTTTGTATGGATAAGGATTTTTGTAGGTTTGATTTGAAAGTTGATTTGGAAGTTGTTTGATTTAATTTAATAATTTAATTTTTTTATTGTTTATAATAAATAATCTTATATTTCAATTTATAATATATTTTTTAATTTAAAATTAATTTTTATAATTATTAAAAAAACTAAAATTCTATTATTATATAATTTAATTTAATTGAATATAATATATATACTGTATATAATTTTTTATTATTATACTGCTTATAGATATTAAATTAAAAACTTATAAGTAAAAGTTTAAAAATATTATTTATTGTATTATAGATTTTTTTTATAATTTTTTTTTTAATATTTAATAATAACATTAATTGTTTATTTATAATAATTATATTGCTGAAACTGCTTGATTTTTATAAACATTATTACTTAATTGTTACTCAATTGTTATTTAATAGTTAATAATAGTAACAGAACAGTTACAGTAGGGTTAACCACTATATTACTGCATTTTATTGCTACTAAATTGCCACCAAATTACTACTGTATTGTTATTATATTACTACTATATTGTTATTAAATAATTTTTATATTGCTAAATATAAATAGAAACTATATTATAACTGATTTGCTACTATTTAAATAACTTTTACACTATTATTATATTACAATATTGTTATAGAATCATTACTACAATTGTAACTGTTTTGTTTCTATATTGTTACTGTTATATTACAATATACTAACAGAATTATATTTAAATTGCTATTGTTATACTATCTATACTACTATTACTTTCACTAAAGTATATAAGAAATGTTATTGCTTTCTTTATATAAAGTTTAAACAATTTTATTGTTAATAAAGTAATAAGATTTTTTATGAAAATATATATATATATATATATATAGTATTATAAAAAAAAATTGGTAAATGTATATATATTTTATATATACAAATTTAATATATTTTAATTTTATATTTGTAATAAAATTAATAGATTTTGATATTTAACAAAGCAAAAATATTTAAATATAATAATAACATCATTTGAGATAACTTGATATGATTAATCAAACCTAGAAAGAATATAATTCAAAAACTTGATAACATCTTGCTTGATGCTAGAATCGCTATATTAAATGTCAAGAACTTTATTTATTTTAATATCCAAGTTTTTTATATAATATATATATTCTTGAAGCACTTGATTACTAGAAACAATTTTTATAAAATATATTCCTAGAAATAATATGTAAATAAAAAATTTCACGAATAATGCATATGTTAAATCTATATTCGCTTTTATGAAATAATGATATATTTTTATTTAACTAATTGTTTTTTAGTTGAATAAATATTATATACAATTTTTTCCATATGAAAAGTTATAAATATATATATGTAGGTTTATTATCGTTTCCATAATTGTATTGGTAAGTTTCTGGTCTCGTATTTAAAATTAAATCGAAAATTCATTTTTAAATGTCATCATTTTAAATAATTCGTATAATATTTTTACATGAACATCATATTTGATAAATTATGACCATGACATTAGGAACTCTTTATTTTCTAACTAAAATCAAATAGTAAATATTAATACAACTTTATATAATTGCATTACATCCACTATTTTCGAATATTAACAGAAAAAAATAACATTTGCAATATACTATGTACGTATATTTGTAATGCGAAAATGTATCAAAAGGCGTTTATTACAATGCATATATTAAAGTATATCAAATTTTGGTCATGTATCTTCTTGGAGCATAGAAAAAATTTTATCCGGTTAGTATACAGTATAAGTGTATATGTATGTTAAACCATCCAAAGTCTAATAACAATGGGATTTGAATACTGGTCTAAATTAGGTAAATTAGATATTATCCTCTTCTCTCCCCCAAAGTAATGTAATATACAGGAGAATTCTATCTTAATCGATCAAAAATAAAAAAAAAAGTAACCTAAAGTTACAAAAATAAGCAGGCAATACCATAGTCCTTAAAAGTATGATCATGCAGAATTGATCATATCTTTACACCCATTCCAAGTACTTCAAATAACACCGGAATTCCATCTGTGGCTATCCATGCAATCCCTAAATTACAAAGTTTTTTATAACGTTATGTCGAAAAGAAAGGTTTTCTAAATAAACATATACGCATTTATAGTTAAAATTTACCAGTATAAACAAATAACTTCACGCCTGCATTGACAGAAAACTTAAAGGGTATTTCACGAGACTTCTGTTTAACCGTGTGATGTTTGCTGATATACGCTGGCTCAGATGTGTCTTTATCATTAGAAGGTTTGAAATTCATTTCATCATTGATTCCGATTGCCGAATCCGTTCTTTTTTGTAGAAATTTTAGAGATTAGCTTACGATATAAATGAGGGAATGATTTAGTGATGTAAAAAATAAACATACTTCGTCAGAGAACATCCATCATTGTGTATAAAAGAGTATATAGGTCGAAGAACAATATATAATAGTTTCTTCATTACTATCCGAAAAGCGAAAATTACTGATAAACCTGATGGATTATATATAAGTAATTTAAGAAATTATGAAATTTATCAATTAACAATCTCGAAAATTACTAGAGAACGTATACGCGTAATTACCAAAAATCACTCTTGCACAACTCAAAAAAAATCCAATATTATTGTAATCATACAGAACACTTCCATTTGGTAGACTATAGCTAGACCTGGAAAATCTCCAATTACCCAATATCATACCAGTCGCTACACCTATGCATGAAATACTATTTTTCGAGAAAATAAATAAATAAATGATATTCGCAGAGAAAATGATTGATGTGATGTAAGGTAGAAATCTTACCAATCTTCATGGCACGGACATTGATCCATTGGTTCAGGGAAAATATATATTAGAAAGAGTGTACCCAAAACTGTACTGATTGGAACTAATTTTTAAGAGGCAAATAACGTTTAAGTCCAAATTCGAGAAAAATATAAATAGTTTAAACATTACAATACGCACCAAACCAACTATTACTCAAAATAAAATCATCAATTTGTCTGTAAAACGTCAATTGTATCCACCAGATTGCTATCCCAATGATTACTCCAACCGTAACATCTGTGAAGCAACTTAGTTAATACAATCATTCTATCGAGTTATAAATCGACCATAAAACATACCAATAAAACCATGCATCCCACAATAAATCCTTCCGAGGACGATAATCGCGCAGTAAAAGAAAAGCCCCGTAATACCAATGTATTTTATCCATGAATTCATGTTATTAGCCGCAAGCAGATAGCTGAGACAGAATAGTGCTATTGACACTGAGTTGGTAGTATGGGTCGATGGAAGTCCATATTCAAGATGGTATGCATTAAGAAGTCGTTGGACAGGAGGTGAACGTGGTCGAGGTAAGCAACATACATCCTATTTGATGGAACGCGATAAATAATTTTCAGTTAATATTTTAATGGTAATTTTTTATTTTGATGAAAAAGCATGCCTTTATAATTCCTGTCCAAATAACACCCGTAGCCACGATGAGAGCCAAACTATTAAATTTCAAATGAAAGGCAAATGTCAGAGAGTAATATAATTATTGCCATGTTAAAATATTAAATATACCTTCTTGCGAAAGTTGCATAACCAAACCAAAAACCTAATGGTAAAATTAGCACAAAAAATTCGTGATTTCCTAGCACCGATAAATTCACGAAAAGCATGTCAAGGATCGGATGGCGAACCGCATTCTATTTTATGTCATTACTATTATCAATAACATGAATTCGTCAAATTAATGAAATATAAATTAGAAAATTAGAATAAATACTTGAACTGTCGCAACTAAAGTCGTCTCGTTGTATATAATAGGCAATAATATATTCCTCAGTTGAAGTCTATATGATTTCATCTGTTTTTCATGCATTTCCTGGGATATCCCTCCATCGAGAAGTGTAGCTATCGCCGGTGTCTTCTCAAGATTCATTATTAATTTTTTTTTTTTTTTTAACTGCCCTCACCTCGTTGAAAACGAGCTACATAAATATAAATCTTTATAGATAAGATCCCAGCCACTGTATATATTACCAAAAATGGCATATGTAGTATTGTGCAATGGTTTTTAATGGTTAAAGATTCTTTCTTCAAATCGTGCTATGAGGATCCTAACATGGCAATATATACAAAACTAACATGGCAATATATACAAAACTAACATGGAAATATATAGACCAAAATAACATGGGAATATATGGAAATATACCGTCATACTGCATTGAACACAATGTAATAGAAATGATTTAATTAAAGTCATTGACTTTTCTATAATTGCTTATGACCACACAGATTATGCTGATTTACGATTTTCGATCTAACTGGTCTATTAACTGTTTTTAAAAAAAAATTTTTTTTTTATAAATACCGTATATTATTACTAACTTTATTTATTTTATAATAAATTAAAATTAATTTTTTTTAACTTGTTTAAAATTTTGCATTTATATTAACAAGTTAATAAAAAATTATTTAAAAACATATAAAATGTTTTATTTAATAATAATAATATTATTGTAAAAAATAATAATTCTAAATAAAATTTTTAAATAAAATTTTATATTTAAATTTATATATAATTCAATGGTTTTATATAATCAAATAATTATAACTTAAAACCTTTTTTATTTATCCTTTTGTTAATAAAAAAAACATATTTTTATAAAAAATTTTATTATATTACACAAAAAAATATTTTATTAATTTTATCTATAAAATATAATAAAATATATCCTTTTATACTTTTTATTATTTTATACTTTTTATTATTTTTATACTTTTTATATTATATATATAATAATTGCAATTATATACAGCATATAACTATCAAATATAATAATAATAAACAAAAAACAACAAATTTATATATTTAATCAAAAAAATATTATATTTCTAATCAAACTTTATACATAGTATATTATAAAAAAATAACAAAAAATTTTTATAATTAAAAAAATTATATATGAGATTTTATTGATATATTATATATATATAAGTAATTATTTTTGAAAATAATAAAAATATTAAACTTGATTTTTTTGAATTCAATTTTTAAACAATATATATATAGTATAATTTTTAGAATCATATTAGAAAATTTCTGGTTTACCTTTGAAAATAATTATTCATATATATATAAGTAATTATTTTTGAAGGTAACAAAAATACTAGATATAATTTTTTCAAATTCAATTTTTAAACATATACATATATAATATAAATTTTAGGATTACGTCAAAAAATTTCCAGTTCACTATCAAAAATAATTATTCATATCTATATATTAATTGATTAAAAGTATTAAAATAACTTATAAGTCTATAGTGTAGTGGTTAATATTTATAGATCAAATCATAAGATACCAGTTCAACTCTAGGTAAAGATAATTAAATAGAATTAATATGATATCTGACATCATAACTTGTGGTTTTTTATAAGAAGCCACTTCATATGTCAATTTAATAAGTGTTGAGATTATAATCTCCAGAATTATGTAGTGATACAACGATTGTCTGGTTGGTGTTATGACAATCACTAGTAATTGTAAGATGTATAAGGTATCTGATTTAGTATAAAATAATTTGGTGATCATTTTTTATAATACTTGATATTTTTTCTGTAAAAGGTTACTTAAAAGTTCTATCCCAATTCAGTAAGAAGTTCACTCCCATACTATTTATCCCAAGAAGATATTTAATATTTTCAAATAGTTGCAAAACTGCTTTAGGTTATAAATTTATAATTATAAGTAAAGATGGGTTCTTAAATAATTTAGTATATAAAATTTTGCAAATTAATTATGTTCCTTTTGAAGAAACATAATTATTTATTCATTATTTTAATAGAAACATAATTTAAAAAACACTTGGATCAAGTGATCTAAATTGTAAAAAATCTTTATAAATAGTTTTTTTTTAATGTTAAGAGATATTTGAATTATATCCTTACTTTTAATTTAAAGACTTATCTTTAGTTGTAAGTACTTTAAATATTCCTGAGCTATAACAAAAAGACAAAAAATTAAATGGTTAAAAGATCAACTGCAGGTGGTACAGAGCAGTAAGACTAATCTTGAGTAGGGTTTTATTTATCAAAAAGATATTATTTTTATTTCTTCAATTTCTCTTTTCTTTAAGCATCACCTATAAATAAAACCTAAATAGTACAGTGATGTTAATACACTAGTAGAGTTTGATACACTAGTCTTGGTCTCTTTGCTATAACCCAGGATATAATATAAACCAATAACTCAAAGCTGGCATTTGAACCTAAAAATCATAATGTAGCTTGATATGTAAAGTACAATTTCTTGAATACTTTTAGATAATAATAGTTGTTTACTAGTTTTTTAGATATATTTAGTCTAACTATTAACAAGTAAACAACATTAGACAGATTCTTACTTTTCTAATAAGCATTTCATATTATTATTAATCAAATTAATCTTGATTGTTAAATCTTTTATATATTATAAGAATATTTAGTTTCCATAAGAATAATCATATATTAGTATTAGTATAATATTTTTCTTCAAAACTTCTTACTTAATTATTAACAAAAAAAAGAAATTTGATGGCTTGAGATTGGTTAAAATAGAATATAACCCAGTTTGTATTTTCAAATATATAAATAAGTTTCAATTTATTTAATAATAATTGTAGTATCTATTAAATAATCATTATACTATTATATTTTATCAAAGATATTACAATCTCAATATATATTAAATCAGTATATAAAAAAACTTTGTATAAGAAATAACACTTAATAAGTTATAATACTGTAAACCTCTTTTCGCTGATCCTTTCTCCAACCATTTCCAAGATAGATATCGGTACTTCAGCT